GTGATTAGCCCTCGCTCTGTAACATGCAAAATAAGTTGTCATCAACTTTTTCGGGGTGGCAGCACGGTCGCGGGTGTCATGGCGTCGTTCAAATTTCGTAGCGTTGATGTGTAAAGAATTAGAACAATTAAATTGGGTATCTGGTAACAAATACGTGTGGGTATAGACGATTTGTTATACAGTAAGTACAGTTGTATGCAGTAAAATCCTAGAGGCTACTGTCCCTTTAAACATAAAAACTATAGTCTGATTGAGCATGGGTCTTATTCTTTGTTTGCCTGTAATGAGAGGCATGCCTGCACACACTGGTGCAATAATTCTGTGTAAACACACTGCTTTCCTCTGTCATTACAGTGCCTAGTCAGGTGATCTTGACGAAGACCCTGGCCAAGAATGTTATGTCTGTTATGACCAAGGTTGCCATGCAGATCAACTGCAAGCTTGGTGGTTCTGTCTGGGGTGTTCCCATTCCAGTAAGTACACTGTTTAAAAAGTAAGCTGTTCATTTTTTATTACATAAAATAATTTTTCTGCATTTAGTTTTTGTTTGGATAACCTACTGCAGCATAGTGTGAACACTTAAAAAACTTATCATTTTGGTCATGTGATATAACTGAGTGAGTGTTAATGCAAGGCTCCACACTAATATTTTTTTTCAGTGGCCTGATCGGCCCACCAAAATCATTGATTTTCAATTTTTGGTGGCCCGAAAATGCAATCTGGTGGCCCGAAGAAAAAACGCTTGTATCGCAAAAAGTATCGCGCGTAAGATAATATCATTAAATAAATGCTAATTGTTTAAGCCTAAAATGACCTTTAAATCGCTTTCATAAGGCATGAAATTAAAAAAAAAATTCCCTCAAAATTCATCCTTTGAGATTTGAATCGATAAAAAGGGGATATTTTTTTTATGTGCAAAAATTACCCCCTTATGAAAAAGGACTGTTCCAAAATAGGTGACTGCATGTCGCATACTTTCGCACACGAACTTTCGAACGCTGGCAGTTTCGCTTCGGATCCGAAAAAGTGCACGCGCGCACATGGATATATATGCATTATTTTGTACAGCCTGCATGCATGCAGCTACGGCTAGAGCTCCAGCGCAGCTAGCTAGCAATATACATTACATCAAGAGCTAATAATACCTAGAGTGTACAACGGAAAAACGGGAAAATTCACCTTGATCGCTGCCTTCACGACCTCCTCCACGTAGCGGCGCGACAGTCCCGCGCCCGTCATCGCCGTTTGTGCCACGTAGCGTTTGGGCGAGGTATTCAGGGATCGTAATATCAAAAAGGCATGGTCTTTCCGACCACAGAATTACTAATTCGTCTTCCTTTTCGCGAGTCCACACTTCTGTATTGGATGCAGCCATTTTAACATCACATGATATCAACAACACCTCCGATTGGTTTAAAAAAATCGATCGCTCGACAAAATACGCCGGACACGGGCACACGAGCGAATTTGCCAGCGTAAATAATCGCCGGCGTAAATAATCGGCCGAAAATATCTAACATTTTTGATACGGGCGATTAAAATCGGCGTGAACGGGCACACGGGCGAATTTTTCGAGCGATTTTAAAATTCGCCGCGATCGGGCGATAAAATACGCTCGTGTGCCCCTACCATAAGTATTACTACTAATATCGCACCTTGTTCGAAGGCTCAAATTTCACTTTGCTGGTTTTCCTCATGGTCAACGTGTGCTTCGTGTTTTGGGCGGGCACTAACGGCCTGCTATTCTGTTTCTAGCTGGATTGTGGTCGCCACGAAGAGGGACATGGATAAGGCGCAAAACGCAGTTGAGACGCTGAGGAAGGTAGGAGGCCCACTCGGCATGGCAGTGGAGCAACCAAGGATGTGAGTGCAGTAGTCTTATAGCAGTGATATTCGTCTATAAATATTGTCTATCGCCTGGGTGTGCACAAAGGCATGCACAGCAGCCGTCTAACACCTTAATTACAAATTGAGTGTCGTATGTGTGAGAAACATCTTAATATAAAATATTACACATTAGTATATAAAGTATTATAAACAAACCCTGATGCTATGCTGAAACTGACCCTAAGTCTATTGTAATAGTAAAAAAACAAGTCCCGTTTGCATATATGCTGAAACTGACCCTAAGTCTATTGTAATAGTAAAAAAACAAGTGCCGTTTGCATATATGCTGAAACTGACCCTAAGTCTATTAGAGATATCATAAACACTGGTAAAGGTGAAATTAAGGCGAGATTTACTCAGCTTCTAGGGGTTATTTTTCAGGCTAATTTAGGTTATAATTAACGCTACAAAACAAGTTTCATTGGTTCAATTCACATTTTGAAATTATTATTAAAAAATGTTTTTAAACATAACGAGCTACAAGTTGTATTAGCAACGACGGTGTGGCGCCACTCAAGCCGCATCGATAGTAAGGTGCAGCAACAACCGACTTTATCCATCCTAAGCGGTCTACAGACGACGGTGATGTTTGCTTATTTATTCATTAAAAGCCAAAAGAGTTGTAATATCTATAAACGAAATATACAGATATAGTTTCAGTTATAATATGGATAGAATCTTGCCTAAATTAATATCGTTTGTGTTAACATAGCATTTAGTATAAATATAATTGCACATTTTGCTGAATTAGCCCTCGCTCTGCTAACATGCAAATAAGTTCGTCCATGCAACTTTTTCGGGGTTGGCAAGCACGGTCGCGGGTTGTCATGGCGTCCGTTCAAATTTCGTAGGCGTTGATGACTGAAAGATCTAGAAAATAAATTTGGGTATCTGGTAACAAATACGTGTGGGTATAGACGATTTGTTATACAGTTAAGTACAGTTGTAGCTAGTCAAAATCCTAGAGTCATACGATCGCTTTAAAAGTAAAAACTATAGTCTGATTGAGCATGGGTCTTGTGCTTTGTTTGCCCTGTAATGAGAGGCCATGCTGCACACACTGTGGCAATATTCTGTGTAACACAACTGCTTTCCTCTGTCATTACATGCTATTTAGAGCACGTACAGGTGATATGACGAAGACCCTGGACCAGAATGTTATGTCTTGTTATGACGGCGAAGGTTGCCATGCAGATCCATACTGCAAGCTTGGTGTTCTGTCTGGGTGTTCCCATTCCAGTAAGTACACTGTTTTAAAAAGTAGCTGTTATCATTTTTTAATTACATGATGAAAATAATTTTTCTGCATTTGTTTGGTTTGGATAACCTACTGGCAGCATTAGTGCTGGAACACTTATAAAAACTTTATCATTTTGGTTGGCATGTGATATTAAACTGAGTGAGTGTTAATGCAAGGCCTCCACACTAATATTTTTTTTCAGTGGGCCTGATCGCGCCCCACCAAAATCATTGATTTTCATTTTTGGTGGCCCGAAAAATGCAATCTGGTGGTGGCCCAGAAAACGCTTTGTCTATCGCCAAAAAGTATATCGCGCGTAAGATAATACTATTAAATATAATGCTAATTGTTTAAGCCTAAAATGACCTTTAAATGCTTTTCATAAGAGCCATGAAATTAAATAAAAAAAATTCCCAGAATCAAAAATTTCATACCTTTGCAGATGTTGAATGCGATAAAAAGCCGGGATATTTTTTATGTGCAAAAATTACCCCTCTATGAAAAGGACTGTTCTCAAATAGGTGACTGCATGTCGCCCATACTTTCGCACACAGAACTTTCGAAGCGCTGGCCTAGTTTCGCATTCGGATCGAAAAGTGCACGGCCGCACACTTGATATATATGCATTAATTTTGTACAGCCTGACATGCATGCCAGCTTTACTGGCTTAGAGCTTCCAGCGGCACGCTTAGCTATGCAATATACATTACCATCAAGCGCTAATAAAACTAGAGTGGTAAATCGGAATAAAGGGAAAATAGGGCTATTTCACGACTACAGTTATTCTACTGTTGCCTGCGAGTCTTAGAATATATTTCATGTCGATGTATTGGCATTAAGCAGAATTCTTGCTCTGCTCACAATCAAATGAGCAATCGCTTGCTCAATACGAATACCTAGGCCTGAGATATCGGCTCCCTAAACCTACCCTCCACCACACTCCTAACGCCGGCTTCGAATCCTTCTGTCCAGCATCTACAGCGCGGTAGCATTTGGCTACTTCGGTTTCCGTCACACATTGGAGGGGCGGGCAATGCTATAATTGATGTCCATTATGCCATAATTTGTTACGTTACGTGACAACTATAGTAATCTGAGCTGCGCTTGTAAAACTTGGATGAAGCCGATCCATCAGTGACGGGCTGATTGAGCCGTGCCTAGGAAAGAATAATGGAAGATAAGGGCATAGGGCGAAGTGCCCCGAATGTCACCTATGATAACCGAAGCAACCGTCCCATGTCATTAAATTATCGCCGGAACAAACCCGAACTTTCAAACGAAGAACGCTTAGCGCGGCGTGTAGGCATGCTGGTCAGAAGTGGATCGAAGCGTCGCGTGTGGGCATGTGGAGGGGAGGTTTAGAAGCGCGATTATGCTCCGCCTAGGAGTACGTCTTGACAAGCGGTG